TCGTGTGCGACAGCCAGAAGCATCCTGATGCCGTCGACAGCATCTCAGTGGCTGGAAACACGGCTGTCCAACTTTACTCCTGTGAATCCAGGTAACTGTTCCTCCAATGCATCACTGTCCGGTGCTGCTGTAGCTCCTCAGCCACCTGGAGTTCCCTCCACCGATAGACGACATCATTTCTCCTCCCTGGTGCCGCTCAGGTGGTTCTGAGAAGGAGTCGGAGATAAACAGAACCCAAACACAACCGTCTGAGATCTGGACCAAAGTTCAACATCTTATTTGTGTTGAAATGGAGAAAAAGATGATTTAAACTCGTACATATGTAGTATTATGTCAAACATCACGGATCGGACCCGACTGGAACTCCTTAAATCAAAGCTTAAGGTCTGGACGTGTTTGCTTCATATCAAATCAATGAGCAGATGGAAAACTACTGATAATTACAGAACCGACTGTCGGTGTGTCACGAGTTCATCATGTTTGCTTTCGGTTCTGTTTCTACCAACACGTGGACGTTTTGTTTGATCCACAGCAGTTTGAAGAATCGTCTTTGCAGCAGAACTCGCTAAACATCTGCAGAACTTTTATTCTCGTCGGAGGCCGTTAATCACCTCAGAGGGAGTTTGTGAACTGAACCATCACAGTTTAATAGTCTTCAGAACCTGCAGTCGGGTTACCTAACCCTAACCCTGATGAAGCTCACGTTTGTCACTCTGCTGCAGGCTCTCGGTAAACTCTGGCTTGTGTTCAGTGTCCGGTCGGAGCTCGTTAACCTCTAGACGTCTTCGTCATGGTGCTCGCTAAACGCCCACAACGCTCCTTAAGTACAGAACCACACAACCGATGCTGTGCATCCACTGGATCCGACCAAATCACGTTTGTTGTGTATGTGACACGTGGGGCGTTCTGAGCAACAAGGCGTAGTGTCGCCCACGAGCCGCCTGCAGCTCATTTGCATAAAGTAGACTTAACTTCTACTTTATGCAAATGAGGCGTGGGGAGCAGCCATTGTTAGACTAAAGTAAGGACAGACTCAGCAGCAGCTAGCCTATTTCTCGCCTCGAATGTTTTCAGAAATACTTTTCGCTGAACGGTTTTCGTAATAAAAGCAAAAGTTTGCAGCCGAGCCGCCATGTTGGTTTGGGATCCCGGAGCACACAGCCAGCGAGTTGATGTGATTGTCCAATCAGACACCGCCTACTGGGCCAGGACTTTGGGAAGCAACGCGATCCGGGGCGGGCAAAATCGCCCCAGTGGACACATAGCATAGCGACATCCCCCCCTCGTTAGTGAATACGTTAGCATCTTCTTCGCTGCTAACGAATAGCAGAGTCATGCTATGTGTCCACTGGATCCCACAAAATCACGCTTCCCGTTCATTGTGTATGTGACACGACCCGCTTCACATCCTGTTCTGGAGCGGAGTGCTTCGAGCGACGAGGCGTAGCGTCGCCCGCGAGCCTCCTGCTGCTCATTTGCATAAAGCAGACTTAACTTCTACTTGATGCAAATGAGGCGCAGGGAGCGGAGGTCCGACGAAACTTTGGTAAAACAGCTGAAGTAGCCGTTGTTGAACTAAAGTAAGGACAGACTCAGCAGCTGCTAGCCTATTTCTCGCCTCGATGTTTTCAGAAATACTTTTCACTGAATGGTTGTCGTAATAAAAGCAAACGTTTGCGGCCGAGCCGCCATGTTGGTCCGGTTTGAAATCCCGGAGCACACTGCTAGCGAGTCGACACCATTGTCCAATCAGATGCAGACAGGATAGAAGGAGAAGAAGCTGAGGTCTTCAGAGTTCAGTATCGCCGTGGACATAGACGCTGCCTCCTGGGCGGCTAGCACCCGCCTCTGAGGCGACGCGATCCGGCGCCAGTGGACACGTAGCATGAGATGTAAAGTGACCATAAAGAGAAACAAACTGAGACGTCCAACATCTCTGAGTCAGCTTCAGCAGATCATACAGGATGAAGACCTCAGAAGCTTGACGAGGACGCGAGCAGTTGCTAATCAGAATCACCGGCAGTAATCTGATTACTTTTTCTCTTCGCAGGAATCTTCATGCAACACGAAGAACCTTGTGGTACTCGCCTCTGATTGGCCAGAGCGCCGTGACGTCAGCGTGAAGGTGGCGGCGAGTCTCTTCCTCCGCAGAGACAAACTGTTATTCAACGGGCCGAAGGAAAACAGGCCAAAATGGGCTTTTGTGGGGAGCATCGGAGTCTTCCTCCTCTCGGGGGACGAAGGCCGGTTTGCAGACAAGTTTTTCCACTCTCGTCCTCCCCCTCTCTTGTCACCTTCCGCCGCTCTTCCTCGCCGCCGCTCCGAGTTCGCTCCTCTTCCTCGCCGCCGCCGTCCCAAAGTCCAACTCCAAGTTCATCCCGGTCGTTATATCCCCACTGAGAGATATTCACCTCCACTAAGAGCTCATCTCTCTCTGTCTTTCTCTGAGTCCGGCTTCACGTTGATCATTATTAGTCCTGGGAGACTAATTATTGCCCTCGTGTCCCTCGGACGCTCTCCGTTAGCGTCGAGTCTTTGCACCTCTTTCTTACTCCTCCTTACACCTCCTTCATCCTCGGCTCCACCTTTCCTCCTTGACCTCCTCCTCCTCCTCCTCCTCCGTCTTTACATTTCTCTCCTAAACACTTATTTTTTTCCTTTCGTTCACAGAAACAGACCAAAGCTCCGTGCTTGTGTTCTGTTGTTACACCTGATGGACCTCCTGAGTTTGCTGCAAACTTTCTCAGCCGAAGCGTTTCTTTTTGTTTTTGCATTTTAAAGCGACATGTTGGACGTTCTGCCACGACAACGATGAATGACAGATCATAAGTAGTAAAATCACAGGAGGAAAGGTTTAATTTACAGGTTTACCGTAAAAACAGAACAAAACTGTAAATAACACCCACATCATGGAGCTCATAGTTTTACAAAGAGTCACGTTTGACTGTGAAATGACCCAAATTTATATCAACAGAGCACATTATATTATATTATATTGTATTATACTGTATTATTCTGATATTATATTATACGAATGGATGGTTGGAAAAATATTGAAGGATTGAAAACTTGCAAATATTTTCTTAAACTGTTATTTTACATTTTCCTCTTTTTTCTTAAATTACAAACACCTTTTAAAATCACATTTAAAAATTAATAGTTTACACGTCGACTGTAAACAGCTGTCATTTACTGTATTTAAATCAACTTTGAAATATTTTTCAGATATTTGTGGTTGTTTAAAAAAAATGGAAGTATTTAACAGTCTGAATTTTTATTTATTTCTACAGTGTCACATAAGATCCACCTCCGTCCTGAATAATCCCAAAAATGCATAAAAATATTTATAAATAGACAAAAGTATTCAGAAAAAAATGTTTCTCAAAAAATACTAATAAAATGTCTCAAATATGCAAATGAAGTAGTAGTAGTAAGTAAAAATCCTAAAAACTAATTTATTGTCTCAAGAATGTTCACGAAATATCCGTAAAATAATGAAAACATTTTATTAAAAAAGTAAAACGTCCCAATAATTCTAAAGAACAAATAAAAATATGTCGAGGTCTCAAAATGCAATAAAATTAGAAAAATCTGACAAATAGAAAAGATGCTGAGAATTTGCACAAAAAAATCCCAAAAATTTAAGAAAAAAGATTTTTTTTAAATAAAATATAAAAAAATCACAAAAATATGAATAAACAAAAATATATGAAATTGTCTAAAAAAACAAACAAAAAAAAGATAAGAATGAAAAGAAAAAAGAAAAATGTTCAAAACATGTTTTTAGAAATGCAATAAAATTGAACTGAATTAATTAAAAAGTGTTAACAAAATGTGCAACAACCACAAAGTGCAGAACGTGTGCAGCCCGTCTGGACGTGGACCGGGCCTGAAGCTGCTCAGAGGTCGGAGGTCGACGGGATCCGTCGGGTCCTCTCCGGTGCTGCTGCTCTGGACTGGGCTCCCTGAAACACTTCCTCTTTGTGTCGCCTCGTCTCATTGAGCCGGGCCGCTCAGTGTAATGAGATTACATGGATTATAAAGGCGGTGTGTGTAATCCACACCCTCAATCCCGTTTAAACACACACTGGGTTCATCTCCTCCTAATCCTCCTCCTCCTCTATGAAGGAGGCCTTTGGGCTTCATGACTGTCCTCCTCCGTGACCTTTTCCTCCAAAACCTCCTCCTGACTTCTGGTCATTCTTGAACTTTCATTCTGTGAACACTTTCAGAATTCTTCCATCAGTTCTGGTCCGTTTCTTCTGGACCTGGTTCTGCTTTCTGATCAGAGGAAACTTTACAAAGTGCATTCTGGGTAAACCTTTAGGTGGTTGGTTGAAGTTCTGGATCGTTTTACCTCCAGAACCCACCAGAACCACCTGCAGGAGGACTTTAAACCAGAACATCCCATAATATGGATGCTCACAGCTGATCCGACCTCCTTCCATCTCTGATCCGCTCGTGCGTCCTTCCCGCCACCAGAGCTCGCATGTGAGCCACAACTGGACACACGCGCACGCTCACGCACGCGCACTGGCTGAGAGGCTGAAGGGAAAAAAACGCAGAAGAAGAAAAATAAAAACTTCCCGTCGGAGGTTCGAGCGACTCGTGAGAAAGTTTATGAAACAGCGGAGCGGCAGATCTGACCGATACCCTCCGGCGCGCACACGCACACGCGCGCGCTCAGGGGGCGTGGTCACGTCCGCCTCCGCCAATCACGGCCCCGGCTCTGCGGCCCTCCGCCTCCGATTGGCCCGGCGGCCCGTCCGTCGCGCGCGCAGGAGGCGGCGCCGGGACGGGTCTGACCTGGAGTCCGATCCAGTCGCTTTTACGCACAGACCGGACAGTCCGGATCCGCGCGCGGATAGCAGAGTGGCAGAGCCCGCGGCCCCACGGAGGAGAAGTGAGCAGCAGCAGGAGAGAAGCGGCTCCGGCTCTCTGGTGGACGGAACCAGCGCCAAGTGAACTCGCTCTGTCGGTCGGTCGGTCGGCGCGCCTCCATGTCGCTGCCCGGCTCCCCTCCGCTCCTCTCGCCGGGATCAGGCGCCCCAACTCCGGTCGCGCTCTACCGCTCGGCTCCGGACGCGCTCCACACCTCCGCCGCCTCCACCGGCACCTCCAGCCCGGCGCACACCAACTCCCACTCCCACTCCCTGTCCCCGTCCCCGCGGCTCACCAGCAGCATGCTCAGCGCCTTCCTGCCCGGGCCAGGGGGCGCGCTGGCCGGCCTGGGGAACGGCGGCGCCGCCCCTCTGGTGTCCGGAGGCGGCGCTGCCCTGGGAGCTCTCGGCGGGCTCGGCTCGCTGAGCTCGGCCGGCCTGACCCCCGGCTCCCCCGGCCTGGCGCAGTCCAGCCCGGGTCTGTGCAGCGAGTGCAAGCTGGTGGAGGTGCACGGCGTGAAGGTGGCCAGCTTCAGCGTGGACGGCCAGGAGCTCATCTGCCTGCCGCAGGTGTTCGACCTCTTCCTGAAGCACCTGGTCGGCGGGCTGCACACCGTCTACACCAAGCTGAAGCGGCTGGACATCAGCCCGGTGGTGTGCACCGTGGAGCAGGTGCGCGTCCTGCGGGGGCTCGGCGCCATCCAGCCCGGCGTGAACCGCTGCAAGCTCATCTCCAGGAAGGACTTCGAGACGCTGTACCAGGACTGCACCAGCGCCAGGTCGGTGCTCTTCTCTCTCTCTTAGCCGTAGGGACGCCCGGCGCAGCTCCGAGCTCCGCGCCGCAATCAGCTCGAGTGCGTCCCGGTGCGTCCGCGGGAACCGGAGGGCTGCTGCGCCTTTACCGGCACTTTGTTTGTGACTCGGTCGCGTTCAGGGTCCAGTTTGTGGCGCTTTGTGTGGAGGCAGCTGGTTGGAGGAGACTTTTGGAGGCTCTGGTTGAGTTTCTGGAGAAGTTTGTCCGCAACCAAGTCCAGCGAAGAGCCGCTTTACAGCTGTTTATATGGAGCTGTGTGTGTGTGTGTGTGTGTGTGTGTGTGTGTGTGTGTGTGTCAGTGCTGAGGCTCGGTGCTGGTTCTGATTAATGGTCGTATTCTGTTATCAGCACTTTTGCTTCTTTACTCCGGAGCTGAAAATGATGCTTTTTACTGTATCGACTCAGAGTGTGTGTGTGTGTGTGTGTGTGTGTTTTAGTGGAATAAAAACACACCGACGGCAAACAAACGCAAAACAAACAAGCTGCAGATTCACATGTTTGCTCAGAATCCGTCACTTCATGTGTGTGTGTGTGTGTGTGTGTGTNTTTGCTTCTTTACTCCGGAGCTGAAAATGATGCTTTTTACTGTATCGACTCAGAGTGTGTGTGTGTGTGTGTGTGTGTGTGTGTGTGTGTGTGTGTGTGTGTGTTTAGTGTTTTAGTGGAATAAAAACACACCGACGGCAAACAAACGCAAAACAAACAAGCTGCAGATTCACATGTTTGCTCAGAATCCGTCACTTCGTGTGTGTGTGTGTGTGTGTGTGTGTGTGTGTGTGTGTGTGTGTGTGTTGTACCTGCAGACTCACCTGTTTCCTTCTAAACAGACACTTTTTAATTCGTCTTCATTTCAAACCTTCACATATTTTATTTTATTTTAAATTTTCAGCACAAACGGTTTGAATCAGATTAAATTAAAACCTTTCATTTGTTCAGAGAAGCTTCTTGTTTCGTCTTTATTTCCACTAGTTTTGCTTTTTAAAGCAGAGCGATCAGTGATCTGCTGCTCTCTGTTCAACGCACAAAGTCTCACCTTTCTGAGTGATGTCTTTCTTTTTTCTTCACCTTTTAAAGGACAAACTAGCAGCTGCTGTTTTATTTCTTCAGCTTTTGGGATATTTGTGAGTTTTTTACGCTCCAGACTTCCTAAAACAGCCGTCAGAGTGTTTCTGGTCACAAACGCTCCCACTGAAGCTGATTTTAGAGTCAAACTGAAGTGAACGTCTTCAGAAAGCTGCTTGATTTCGGCCTGACGCAGCAGATTTGACTAAATGCACCAAACCTCCTCCTTGTTGCCGGTGACCTTTCAGACCTTTCAGACCTTTCAGACGTTTCCACGGAGCAGCACCGAGTTCATACAGAGTCTTTTCCTGAAGCTGGTTTCAGGGTGAACCAGCAGGAGCTTCGGTCGTGGACGTTCTGGTTTCAGAGACCCGGTTTGGGGACGGAGGATCAGGTGCTCGGCGGGTTTCTAAAAGCGGCCCGGCCCATCGATCCGTCCTCTTTATGGACGTGTTTGTGGCACCGAGGCTGCTGGAAAACCTCCTGATCGCTGCAGTTTGTGCCAAAACGTAGTCGAGCTTCTTGTGAGAAATCAGGAAACCTGAAGCCAGAAACACGAAGCAGCTGCTGGTCGAGTCGCCGTGACTCAGTCTGCTGCTGGTTCACCGTCCAGGCTGATCAGACCTGGATCACGTCATGCTGATCCATAAAACCTGATCCTGGGTCAGGATAAGAGTCTGATTCAGATCAAAGTTTGTGTCGACTTCATGTTAAAACTAAACTCAGACTGAAATCACTTCTATGACTTTATTATTTCAAGAGGAAACTCCTTTAACGGCGCCTGTTTCATTAGAAGCTGGACTCCAGAAGATGTTTTAGTTTTTTATGTTTAGATTCGTCCAAAATAATAATTTTAAAAAATCCCAAATCAAAAGAAAAATGTGTGAAATGGTCCAGAGTGAGTCAGGAAGTCACATTTGTGCCTTCGCTGGTTTAAAACTAAATTCAAATCATTTAATAAAATAGTTTTGAGAACGTTTTTGGACGTAAATCTGCCTGAACTGGTTCCTGTGACTCTGAACTGTTCTGCTGCAGAATAAAAACACACCGAGAGGATCAAGCAGCAGCTCAGTGGACCAGCTTCTGCTGCTTCTGCTGCTGAGAACAAGTTCAGGTTCAATCAGAAACTTCTTTGTCTTTAAAACTACGAACCTGCACGAAACCCAAAAACAACCAACAGAAAGTACAGAATAAAAAGAGCATTTTAGTGAAAGAAGAACAGTTTGTTTTAACTGATGAATCATAGAAATCCACTCGTTCCAGCTCATATTTCCATTTGATTTAAATGCTGACTGACTGTAATGAAGACTGAATGTTGGTAAATGTGATGAACTGAGTTGCTGCAGAAGGTGTGAAGCTGTAAATCAACCGGCTCAGAGTTTAACTGAAACATGCGTTTGTGACGTTTCTGGGTTTAATTTTCGGACCGTTTTTACGTTCTTTGGACAGACGTTTGTGTCGCTGGTGGTTTTGTTTGACTTCAGACGACTTCTGATGGAACTGAAGTGAGTTTGAGGAATCGGCTTTTCTTTCTTAATCACACGTGTTTTAATGAAGGTGGTGCTGCTGAAGGTAGAGGAGGAGGATCCTGGAGTCCAGGGGAAGTTCACTTATGAAGCTGCTGCAGTGAGGATCCAGTTCAGCATCAGCGTTATCGGGTCAGACGTCAGAACCGGGTTTGTAGTTTTAAACCAGATCTCAGTCTTTGATCCAGAGTGGTTCTGAGCTGCAGGTTCCTGAGTCCTGCTCCTGTTCTCCACCTGGACTCGGTCCGTGTGCTCGCTCAGGCGGGTTCCACCTGTTGGGCCGATAGCTAACGTGTCTCGGGCCGACCTCCGAGTCCGACCCGAGTGTGAAACGTTCAGAGTCGCTGCTGCTGCTGCCTTCCTCCTCCTCCTCCTCCTGTTCCTCCTCCTCCTCCTCCTCCTGTTCCTCCTCCTCCTCCTGTTTCTCCTCCGTCGGCTGTTGATCCGTTTCACACTCGGCGCTGCGTGTCAGGGCCAATAATGGATCATGTGAGCGCACATGGAACAACACGGCTGGAGGCCCATTGTTGCCGAACGCACAGCGAACACACACTGGCCTCTCCTCGCTGGTATTGACATTCTTCTAATGCCTCCTCCTCCTCCTCCTCCTCCTCCTCCTCCTCCTAAATGCTCAACAACAGCAAAATAAAACTAGAGGAGAACTCCCACTGGGCTCCTGCATACTTGGTGTTCTGGGGAACCCGCCTGCAGCCGCCGATCCAAACCGTCACTGAGCAGAACCGCAGGATTGAAATCTGGATTTAACTGATTCACATGAAGCTTTTAAATTATTCTGACGGTTGATATTAATAATAATAATAATAATAATAATAATAATAATAATGTTGCATCAACTTAACATTTATGTGTAATTTAAACTTAAAAATCTAAGTTGAGGAACTTAATGAAACTCTTTTTTTTTTTTTTTTAACAAAGCTGCAGTTTAACTTTAAAGGAAACCAAACAATGTGCTGAATTAATTAATGTCTTAAACAAAAACACCAAAAAAGCCAAAAACTGCTGAATTGGAGCAACTTAATTTGTTAAAACTTGTTCTAATTTAATAAACCACACTTAAGAATTAATTTTTTTGTGAGTAATCAACTATAAACTCGTTAATGACCTTTAAATAATTAACTGATTTCAGAGGAAAAGCTCGTTTGTTGGTTTAACGTAATTTTATTGTCTGAACTTAAAAAGATGGATTTTTTTGAGCCCAAATGGATCCTCTGGTTCTGATTCTCTTTAAGTTTTGTTTGTATTTATTCATCTTAAAGTCCTGTGAAGTCGTTTTATTGGAGAAAATCTAATTGGAGCAACTTAATTTATTAAAACTCGTACAAGCGTGTCTTCATGATGATGCTAATTTAATAAACGACACTTAAGAGTTGAATTATTTTTATGAGTAATCAACTATAAACTCGTTAATGATCTTTAAATGACTGATTAATTGATTGCAGAGGAAAAGCCAGTTTGTTGGTTGAACCTAATTTTATTTTCTGAACTTACAACGACGGATATTTCACACTGAGCCTTGTTCTTGTTCGTATTTATTCATCTTAAAGTCCTTCGAAGTGGTTTTATTGGAGAGAATCTAACTGGAGAACTTATTTTTCTACATGTTTGTCACCGTGTGTTCATAATTATGGGACATTATTTTAAATAATGTGTGAAAACGAGTTGGAACGACCTGGTTTTAATGAATAATTAACTCTAACCTTTATGCTGCCAGTTGTTCCATAATTAAAAATACGAGTTTATCAGCTGAACATTTATTCTTAGTTGTCTGAAAGATATAGTTTTTGTTAACAAAAGCAGAATAAAGTTCCTGTACTGCTTTCTAACGTTGTTTAAAGGAGCTGACAGTCTGAGTAGGTTCAGATTTAGTCATCCTGCCGGAGAACGAAGCCACGGCGCGTCCTTAATGAGGTGTTGTCAGCGTTGTCAAACCGTTATCACATGTGCGTTAAAATAACTCGCTTATCTGGCGCAGGCATAAAGAAGGAGAGCCACTGAAAGTCTCAGATTGACGACTAAAGCGCCGCACCAGGACAGAAATAAGCATTCTTGTGTGTCGATGGCGGTTTTCATGAGCGTCAGTCTGAGCCCACGGCCGCTCGGAAATAGACGGCGCCGCCCATTAACCAGTTGTTGGCGCGTTAATACTCGATCCGCCGGTACGCGGAGCCGCCGGTGAATAAAACGGCGACGGAAAGAAATGTTGGAATTCAGTTTCAGGTCGATGAAGTGCAGGAACCACTGAGGCAGAAGATCAGAACGTCGTATTTCTGTTTCCTTTTTTTACTTAAACTCACTTGCTGCTTATTTTACTTGTTTTCTTAAAGATCTTTCCGTCCTTTGACCTTTACTGGTACGC